AGTACCTCTTAGTTTTATGGTCCTTGTTTTAGCCCAAAGACTGTCCTGATCCACCCTTTGGACCAAAAAGGGGGGAATCTTGGGACCACATAGGTCAATGCGCGTTTGCGAACTATGGACCTCGTACATCACCGCGTGATCCATAAACTGAACTGTATGGCCGGCGGTGAGATGCCTTTGTGTCCCCTCGTGGAGTTAACCGCCCACCGACCTTCCTCCTTCTACACTACTACCTCTCGCATGGACGACATCATCATTGCGTACCACCTGCGTGAGTGGCTTCTTCTCGTTATGCGCGTTGGGGACTATCCCGTTTCCTATCCTCTTTGTGCCTGACCAGGATCAAAGACCAAAGGCGCCAGGATCCAAGACAAAGACAAAGGCGTCCAAGGAGACCAACGTCCTAAGGGACAAACCCACCTGTGCTTCCGACAATCAAGTCGACCTACGTTCATGAGGGACAAACCCATCTGTGCTTCCGACGATCGAGCTTTGGGCGCGATCCCCGAAACCAAAAGGGGGAATGTTGAGGGTCTGACCTCATGAGGAAATTACTATGCAGTGATTTTCTCCAAAATGACTGTGCTTAAATTGCTCTGAAAAGCAAATAATCACATCAGCGCCAAGAAACTTCATTTCCCATGATGCTTTGCACACGGAAGCATTGGGTGATGTCACCGCCTAGTACCAGAAACACGTTCTGCGCATGTGCGGGAAGCCGTGGAGCTTTTCCCGCGAACTAAGACCATAAATCTTCAGCAGAGACAAAGAAACCTCGTTCTTTTGCCCAGGATACCTGGCGGTAAGGACACGCTTGTCGAACGCTCCGACAACTTGAGCACGCGGAAGCTCTAAGTGCCCAAGTTGAGCCACGCAACCGCTGGAAACCACTCCACCATTATCGGGACCTGACTGGGAACGAGCGGAGCTCCATTCAGCTCTCAGAGACGCTGTAAGTTGTCAAACTCAGCACAAAAGAAACTTCGTTCTCTTTGTGTCCAGCCGTGGAGAAACACTCGTGGAGCCAAACAACGGAGAAAGCATTAAACCGACGGATGACGCTGAAAACTGCGGAGAAAACGGAGAACCGTCAAATCAAACAGCTGGGACGCCTTTCTGCTCATCCGGTGATCAGAAAACTCATTTTTTCTCTCTCCTTTTCTTCTCCCGTTTCCTCTATAGTCCAGAATAAGCAATAAAACCGCGCTATTGCTTAAAAAGTAGCTTCGTGTTTTCCTCTTTCGCTCCCAATTCGTCCTTCGGGTCATTTTGAAAGAATAAACTGCTTATTGATCATCGCTAATATCTTTAGTCGTCAGCTCTGGCCAGGCTGCCGACTCCTTTTAGATTAAATAATTTACAAGTGACCTTTTGTTGTTTGTTAACTTTTGAAGTGTTTGAGTTAAGTTTTACTGTGATTCTAAGCCACTAAGTGTTCGGGAAAGTAGAAAACTTTACACATCCAGGTCTCCTGTTGAATGCGAGGGGAGGGGAAGAGCCCCACACACACTCACAGCTCACTCCCCCCACCTACTCTGGGGAAACAAAGACCCATTCATCTCACACACACACACACACTCACTCACACACACCACCCAAACACCTTGAACATTATTTTGAATATACATCCTTTTATTATATCACATGGTTATTATTCATTTATGCCACTGTTTATTCATTTGACAAATTGTTAATTAAACGTTATAAAATTCAGATTTTCGTCTCCAGTAGCTTTGTTGTGTCGAAGAGAAGTCTCTGCTCCAAGGATTCTACGAACTTCAAGAAAGACTGATAAGAGTTTTGGATTCAATTTTTCCCCGGTTAAAGGGGAATGGTGCCCCGTATATCTAAGAATATCTTAATTAATTAATAAATCAGTAAATATTTACATATTTACAGAATTTATTGAAGAATCCAAAAGTAAGTTGAAGCTTACTAATTGTTCGCTCCTAATAACCCCAACAGGCCGTTAGATTCTTGGCGGGGCCGGTAAATATTCAGAGTTACCGGCCCGGCTGGCCGGTTGTAGGGCTGCTCAATTAATCGAATTTTAATCACGATTACGATCTGAGTTTTGAACGATTATAAAAAACAAAACAAGCCGATTATTTGCTCCTCCCGCTTGCGCTGCCCTGAGTTGCAAATGAAGCGCTCCTCCACAGTGTTGCCAACTTAGCGACTTTGATGCTATTTCTAGCAGCTTTTCAGACCCCCTTCTTGACTTTTTAATCCTAAAAGTACCTAGCGAACATCTCAGAAACATCTCTGGTAACCCTTAGCTACTTTCTGGATAACTGTCGTCGACATTTCCTGCAGGTTAGCTAAACACTCCGCCTGCGCTCCGGACCGTTCTTCACAACATTAGGAAAGGGAATGATGCAGTGATGTGTCGGTCGCTAAAGAAACAGCTCTCGGAGCCGGCTCCCTGTTGGATTAACCAGAGTGAGTGACATACACACCGTACCTGCGGACTCCTGATTAGCTAAAAACAGCTAAATGTGCGCGTGCAGCGTGCTAAACACACGTGCAGCTTGCCCGATTGCTGTAAGACCGGGGTGGGGGGTGCAGCTGTGGTTGGGACAATTATTACATTAACTGATGGGCCTGTAAATAAATAGTTTATAAATAAGGTAGAAATAAGTTACTCACGCTGATAAATAATAACTAATCTCTCTGAGGACACAGTGCTAGTGCACTCTCCTACAGCACCTTGACACGACTCAATAAATGTTATGCAACATTTTGTGAACATCAATTTATTTGCATTTATTTGTTATAAATGCCACTGTATAATTCTTGCTGTCAGTATTTGCAAGATATTGGTATTTGGGTCTGTACTGGTTAGACTTAAATGAGTTAAACCAAGGTCTATAGCCCTTGGGTCATAGACTATGAGCTATAAGTATATTGGTCTTTTTATCCTGGGAATCAGGAGTTATTTTAGTGACCATCTTGTTTCTTATTTTTGTCCTAATTGTGCCCTGAGCAATTTTATGACTGAATAAAAACAAATAAAATCATCATAAATTGAAAAATCGTCCTAAATAATTGTGATCTCAATTTCAGTCACCATAATCGTGATTATTATTTTTGCCATAATCGAGCAGCCCTAGCCAGTTGGTTTTGAAGTTAATGTCCACCCCTGAGAACCACTTGGTAAATGTGGAGGACGCTCACTCTGACAGATTTGGATGCTGCGCTGGTGCCGCCGTTAAAAAAACAAAACTACATTCCACTATAATCGATTATGGCGTACTCTTCTACGATGCTGAATCGTTTATGTCCACATCCCAATGCATCGATTATTTGATTATTTTCCTCAGCTCTAGTGGATAAGTTGGACCAAAACATTTCCTACTACCCCTTCATCGCTGAACTGGTCCAAGAAGTTTGTAGCCTATCTGTTCCAAATGTGCATGTTTAACGCCTATATCCTGTACCGAGCCAGAAACCCAGGGGGATGTAACACTCTTTTGAAGTTCATTCGTAGTGTAGTGAAGTCCTGGACCTTGAAGGTACATGAGAGGAAAGGGAGTGAGGTGGGGGAACAGGTAGAAGAGGAAGGAGCAGTTGTTGAGGATGGGGACTTGGAGGATGTCCAACATACTCTGAGTGGACCATATAACACGGACCCAGACAGCAGGCTAGATGGAGACCTTGGCAGACACAAACTCTGTTACCGGAAAACCACCAGTAAGAAGTTGACACCAACAAAATGGTGTAGGGTCTGCATACGCAGAGGAACTCGCAGAGAGACGAAAATGATGTGCAAGTTCTGTTGTGTCCCCTTACATGCAGGACAGTGTTATACAGGTTACCACACTACAGTGAGATACTCTGTCTCTGTGCAGGGGTAGAAACACACACACGCACGCACACACACACTTCACTAGGCTATAACTACAACACCACTTCCTGTAAGATTGCATGCCTGCAAATGAAATTGTTAACTTTTGACAAAAATTATTATTTATTGTTATTTGTGAATAAACATCTAAGTTCTTGTCAAAAACCATTTTATAGTTTGGTTTTACTATTTTTACACAAGGTAACTGCTTTTGGGGTGTCTGAGGTGTAAATAAAGCAAAGTATATTAGTGTCAAAGACAGTTTACTGCGTTACATCTCTCTTGACATAAAAAGCCTGTTTTCTCCGTTTTTGGTTCAGAAACAGGCATTTCTGGTGAAACCCACCTGAGTTCTACAACAAATTCTGAAAGAACGGAAAAGGTTTAAAAAGAGCCGTTTTCTCCTGATGAAAGAAGAGTTAACTCTTTCATTTAGTAGTTTTGGTGTTTGCATAGCCACAGAGCACAATATTCTGACTCTTCAAAAAACAGTAAAAATACTCAAAATGGCTGGCAGTGAGGGGCTTTAGTGATCAGAAAACGGCTGGCAGTGAATGGGTTAAGAGGTCTGCACAAACAGTTGAAAAGCCAGACTGAGAGGAGCCGGAGAGAAAAGCAGGTGAATCGAGAAGTTTTGAAGCTGAGTAAAGAAGGAGCTGGCATATAGAGGAATCGGTTGCGGCTGAACTGCTGAGTTGGAGAGCTGTGACTGAGACCAGACTGAGAGGACGCCGAGAGGTGCCAAGAGAGGGAAAAGCTGCTGCTTTTCTAGTTGGAACGAGTTTCCTAGGATCCCTGAGCTGACATCCAGAGCATTCTCCAAGTGGTTGGGTTCTACACCCTATTGGCTGGGATCAGAGAGTGACGAGTACCACTAAGCTTATTTTATCAAGAAGTTAATTAATAGACTGTCATCACTAACGTCCCTCCACCAGTCAACTTCCGGTCGGCAAGATGGCGCCTGTGCTTGGCTTCGCCGCGGTCACCGGCAAACTTTTCTCCACTAACCTCCTCTTTTCCACCTTGCTCCTGTCTGTGATCCTCTTCAGTAGTGTCTCTGCTACCATCTCCTATGATCGCCAGACTCTTTTGTCCTTCCGTTCGTTCACGATCGCCCATGATGCACCGAGGATTTACCATCCTGTTTGTTTACCTGAGCGGCGTACCGGCCCGGAAGCAATCAACGATCCAGAGCTGCGCACCTCCTCTAGCGATGTTTGTCCGGTCCCGGGAAAACGTCTGAGGAAAAGAAGTAAACGAGCAGGAATCCAGGTGAGAATACGACTTCTCTTAAAGCGTGGTTTATCTAATAAACATTTGCGTGATCTTCTAGCGTCTTGTCCTTTGTTTGATGACCTGAGCGCTACTTCCGCATTTCTGCCAGGCCGCGTTGCAGCGCGGTTCATCCGTCCACGTTTTTTAAGGTTGGTTTATCCTCATTCCTCAGTGGCTTCTCCTCCTGTTCCCTCCATAAGTGGTTTTTATAAACACCGTGGATCTAACCCTGCTAATTTACGTCCACTAACTCCAGCTGTTTCTGTAGTTTCTGATTCCTCCACCTCACTCAGTATGGCTCTATTAAATTCCCGCTCTGTTAACAATAAGTCCTTCCTGCTCAATGATTTAATTCTCTCTAAAAACCTGGATTTTCTGTTTCTGACTGAAGTTTGGCAGCAAACATCTGATTATTCTGGTCTGATTGAACTCTGCCCAAGTGGTTATTCTTTTCTCAGCCAGCCCCGGGGTTCTGGTCGTGGTGGAGGCCTAGCTGTTGTTTTCAGAGACCATCTTCCATGTAGCTCTACAACCTCTGGTCACTTTGCTTCCTTTGAACTGCAGCTGATTAAAGTCGGGCGTAAGGACTCGTTCTACTGTGCTGTGGTCTATCGTCCACCTGGTCCAGACAGTTCTTTCCTTCAGGAGTTTAGTGACTTCCTATCCTCCACTGTGAAGCTGTCCAGACTGGTGATTGTTGGTGACTTTAACATCCACGTTGATGATCCCTCCGATCTCGTTGCCATGAATTTCTCCAGCCTTATGGACACCTTCGACTTTACCCAGCATGTTTCTGGCCCCACACACACCAGGGGGCACACTCTAAACCTTGTTTTTACCCTGGGTGTAAATGCTGACAGTGTTTGTCCTGAGAACGTTTATATCTCAGATCACCATTGCATTTTCTTTACCTTGTCAGTTTCTGCGTACCCACCTCCTGCTCACTGTATGGTTAGTTCTCATTTTCTTAATGAGAGCACAGCTAGCAATTTTTCTGCTGCTTTTGATCCACCCTGTTCTTCTGAGAACGACCCAGATTCCTTAACTTCTCAGTTTAACGAGCACTGCCTCTCCATTCTGGACAACATCTGTCATGTCAGAACCAGATCAGTTCCTGCAGTGAACCCTACTCCCTGGTTTAATGACAGCCTTCGCAGCCTAAAACGCCAATGCAGAAAAATTGAGCGTTTGTGGAAGAAAACCCATCTTCACGTCCATCTGCTGCACCTAAAGGATCTTCTGTCATCCTTTAACTCTGCATTCAGAGACGCTAGGGTTTCCTATTTCTCCAACCTGGTGTCCCAGAGCAAAGGGAACCCCAAGGTGCTGTTAAACACCATCAGCAGCATCGTCTCTCCTGCCTCTCCTACAGCCTCCACTCTGTTACAGACTGTGAGAACTTTCTGTCTTTCTTTGTGGACAAAATCAATAAGGTTGGATCTAGCATCTCTCCTTCAGCTTTATCTCTGCCTCTCCCCACTCCAACCAGACCCATCATCCTAGATAGCTTTGCTCCTGTTTCTCTGCCTGAGTTAACCAAGCTAGTTAACTCTATGAAGACCTCTGCATGCCCCCTCGACATCTTACCCTCATCTTTGTTTAAAAGTGCTTTTCAGTCCATCGGTCCCGGCATGCTCTCTATAATTAATGCTTCTCTGGTTTCTGGTCAGGTCCCTGCTTACTTTAAGAACGCTGTAATCCACCCGCTTCTTAAAAAACCGAGTCTCGACCCCTCTCTCCATGGCAGCTTCAGACCCATCTCTAAACTTCCGTTCATCTCCAAGATCTTGGAAAAGGTTGTGGCTAAACAACTCACAGCTGCTCTTGATGAACATAACATCTATGATAGCTCCCAGTCAGGTTTTCGTAGAGCTCATTCTACTGAAACAGCTCTTCTTAGGGTCTCTAATGACCTTCTGACTCACAGTGATGCAGGGGACTGTTCTGTTCTGGTCCTGCTGGACCTGACTGCAGCCTTTTGACACTGTTGACCATCACCTGCTACTGGAGAGGCTGAGGAGGCCTATCAGGATCTGCTCTGGAGTGGTTCTCCTCTTATCTTTCTGAGCGCTCCTTTTCTGTGGCCATCTCCACGTTTAGGTCCTCCACCACCTCCCTTACCCATGGTGTCCCACAAGGTTCTGTACTGGGGCCTCTGCTTTTCCTCCTCTATCTGCTTCCTCTTCAGCACATCCTGAGCTCCTTCAAGGGAATCTCCTACCATCTTTACGCAGATGACATCCAACTACATCTCCTTTAAGCCCCATGAGATGTCTAAGCTGCAGCTGTTACACACCTGCTTAGACTCTATCAAAGCCTGGATGGCTGGGAGCTTTCTACAGCTGAATGAAGATAAGACTGAGATCCTCATCTGTGCCCCAGACAAGCTGGTTCCCAAAGTCAGAGACTCTCTTGGTCAGCTTGCTTCACACACCAAACCTTCCGTCAGGAATCTTGGCATGACCTTTGACCCAGCTCTCACACTGGATTCTCATGTCAGTTTTCTTGTTCGCTCTTCCTTCTTCCACCTCAGGAACATTGCTAAGCTGAGTCCCATTCTGTCTCGCTCTGAACTTGAGACAGTTATCCACACCTTCATCTCCTCACGCTTAGACTACTGCAACTCTCTTTTCACGTGTCTGAGCAGAACGTCCCTGAACCGTCTACAGGTGGTTCAGAATGCCTGTGCTCGGCTTCTGACCAAGTCCTCCAAATATACCCACATCACCCCGCTTCTCCTCCAGCTTCACTGGCTGCCAGTCAACTCCAGGGTTCATTTCAAGATCCTGGTTCTGGTCTATAGGGCCCTACATGGACAAGCACCATCTTACATTGGTGATCTTCTTAGTCCCTACACCCCCAGCAGGTCCCTGAGGTCCAGTGATCAAAGCCTACTGGTTGTGCAGCAGAAGGCTAAAGACCAAAGGTGACAGATCATTTGCTGCTGTGGCCCCCAGACTCTGGAACTCTCTCCTCCTGAGCCTGAGATCAGTGGACTCAGTGGTCTCCTTCAAAAAGCAGCTGAAGTCTCACTTGTTCAAGCTGGCTTTTGTATGACCTTCTTCACCACTCTCTCTTTATTCTGCTCTCCCCACCTATTCCACCTTCCTCAGGATCCACTGATTTCCCTCTTTCCTATTCTCTCTCTCTCTTTCTTTATATTTTTTCTTTTAAATCACAATAGCTTATTCTTGCTCATTTTAAATATATTTTTAAACATTTTCGAAATGCTTTTTTATATTTTTACAATTTTTATATTTTTTGTTTTTGTTTTTGTGAAGCGCCTCGTGATTTTTATCTTGAGAGGCGCTATAGAAATGATATTTTCTTCTTCTTCAGTCACATTTTGGTTTAAAGCTCCTGTGTAAATAATCCTCCTTAGTCTCCTTGAGGGTTAATAGTCTTGAAAATTCCTCCTAGACTCTGATTTATTGTGTTTAACACATTTGTCAACTTCCTTTGTTGGTCCTAGAGCCTTCTTATTAATTATAAATTAATACTTGTTGAGTGCCCCCACTCACTTTTTGTATTTCGAGTTCGCTGGCTTTGGTTGTGAGTAGGGCCTAAAGCCTGATTCATGCTTCTCCGTCTGCGTCAGTGCGGAGACACGCAACGCCATTATCCGTCCTTGCGTAGGGCTCCGGCAGGCACGCAAGTACGTACGGAGTAGTGCCCACTTTTTTAAACATCCGTCAAACGAGACGAATTACGCAAGCTTGTGATTGGTTGCTCCAGAAACCTGAGATCACTTCCGTCATGATGCCATTTCCTTTAAATTTGTCAACAGTGCCGGAGTCGTGTGTGGTAAAGAAGTAGATATGGACCAGTTCGAGGAACGTCTAGCGGAGGAATTACGGAAATATGAACATTTATACAATCCATCTTTGAACAACTATAAAGATGCCCAGGTCATTTACAACTCATGGAAGGAAATTGCCCGCATTTTGGAGATGGATGTGGAGCAATGCATGAAGAAGTGGAGGAGCATGCGGGACAAATTTGTCCGAATTTAAAAAAGCTTGAGGGGCACCAGTGGCGATCCAGGTGGCAAAAAGGTTCAGGCTTTTTATGTTATGCTTTCGTGGTTGGAGCCGCACATAAAGCATAGAGCCACATCTTCAAATTTCAAGGTAACTACTTTAGCACGCTATGTTTGTACTTCCTGTTTGTCTGTGCTTCCAGATACACATGGTGCTAACAAGCTGCAGTTCTAGTTAAAAGCTTTCATCAAAGTCATCCAAATTCATCTTTCTATACTATTGTGATTACCTAACCCGATTAATAAGTATATCTGCATTCAGTTTTTACCAGTGTATGTAAGTAATAAAGAGATAACTATATGCCTGTGTTTGTTGAACAACAGGCCTCAACTGAACCACCTCAGGACCAGGCCTCGTGTGGATCCTCACAGGATGAGGCCCCGGCTCCATCATCACAATTTCGGGGGTCTTCACTGCCTGCCTCTCAACAGCAGGATGAATCCTCACTGGATCCCTTTCACATCACCTGCTCATCACATTCATCATCATCATCTTCAGCAAATTCATCTCCATCTCTCCATGCCTCCCTTGACCGAGAATCCAATTCAACGGATCAAACAACCTATGAGTTGCTAGAGTCCACCAGCACATCACGACCTGCTCTCAAACAGAGACGGTGCCAGCAGGAATTGGATGACTGCTTTTCTGACCAAATTGACGCAGGAAAGAGCTCAGTGAGAGACTGCAGAAGTACGATGAATATGACCGATTTGGGCACTGTAGCGGACCTACTGAGGGTCCCTGAACACAAGCAGGTGGTGGCCAGGCGCAACCTTTTCTCGTGTGTGTGCGACCTTCTGGAGGATTGAAATGCGTTTGTGTTTAAAGTTTTTTTTTATTTGCATGTTTTAATTTTTATTCCCAATAGAAGTGTTTCATTTGCATGTTTCTTTTCTATTAAAAGCAAAGTCTGTTTTCTTCCAT